CGACACTTCTGCCTCCCGACAGATACTAACAAGCGGGATCGTTGTCCGCGGCGATTAATGGCTGTTACCACGAGTCCCGTTGTGAATGATCCACCCTTACAGAAATGTCATACTGAGATCATTGATTAATTACTTATTTTCAGTATTAAAAGTACAGTGGTTAATAATATTCTGCGATTCAAATACAGCACTTAGTGCTCACAAGTATCTCAGTGTTTAGTGTTACAATGACAAATATTATTTTATGATATGATGGATTTTAATTCTTAAATACTGATATGTAATACTTCGTTCAGTGATAAAATACTTACGCAAAGCACTGTTAATAATTAAATACTAATATATAATACTTCGCTAAGTGATGTAATACTTACGCAAATACTGTCAAGAATTAATGTATTAAAGTTAAGCATTTGTACCAGTCTCATACAACACAAAAGCTTGCAACAACATTGTTACAACGTTGCAATATTGCATATTGCAGTGACATTAATATTATTTTAATAATGATGCAACAATATTTTAAAAATATTACGAATATAATATAATATTTTTTATTTATTTACTAGTTATTTCTGTTACTTGTATTTCAAATTCAATAATGTTTCACATCGATAGTACTTATAGAATAATAGGGTAAAGCGGGGTAATTTCAAACTTTTTGAACAATTTCTCGAGAAATAATAATTTTATCCTTACATTGAATATGTAGTAGGAAACTTACATGTTTAATGAGTATTTACCCAATATATGAGAAATTACTCTTTAAATCTTGAGGCGTAATGCCATTATCCAATTTATCCCTACAATTTTAATGAAGATCAATTTTGAGGGGCAATTCGGATATCTTAAGGGATAATTTAAATAATATTGAAAATGAGCATTAATATTATAACAAAAACTAAATCATGTATTTAAAAAATGTTGTTTTTTGAACATTTTATTAAACTTTTCAGATTAAATTGAACATAAATTAGAAAAACATTTAATAAAATTGAATATAAATTATATATATATATAGAAAGTCAAAGTAATCATGTTAGTCCCATATAAGATATTAAATACAACGAATATAAATAAACTAATATTAACTAAAATTAACATTATAATTATAATTACATTAACATAATAATTAATATAATAATTATAATGGACATTATAATGTTATAATAAAAGCAAAACGTTATGTTTATTTATTGTATGTTTGATATTAAATTGCACTTTTCAAACAAAATTAAATAAAAATTAAGACAATTAACAAGAGAAAAAAATAATCATGTTAGTGTTATATAAAAAATTCATATATAAGGGCCACAAATGAACTGTTTTTCCCTTTGGTTTCAACGCATTGCTCATGATACCATGTTTTGCAATGCTGGCAACGGATCTAATTCCCTTTTTTTATAGACAAATTTAAATAGTAGCTGACTTTACAAAATGCACATACACAGACAAGTTTTTTCTAAAACGCCATTAAATACATTGGGGCGCCCATATAGAACTGCGAGGGACTTCATTTTCATTACATTTGTCTTTGATTAGATTGAACTTTTCTGTATAAACTTTTGTAGGGAACGTAAAATAGTGTAGCTCCTAAAATGGACATCACACCATCAATAACAAATGTAATGGCTTGCCTCATACTTTCTTTGTTCCAATTTAGGCGAGTATCTTTTTTTCATAATATGTCATCATTTGAAATAACAACATGTGTCTTAAAACAGTTGAAATATACATATTAGGGAACTGAGTGCGTTATCCAAATTGCCCCATAAAAATGTATCCAAATTTGCCCGTGAGCCGATAAAAATATAGTACTACAATATAATAAAGTACTACAATAACTTAACAAAATGTACCACTAATCGACGTGATCGCTAATACATGCGGGAAACATTTTTGAGTTATATTGTTATCATAGTTTTTACGTAGATTTTATAAAAGCTTAAACTAGCAGAATATATTTTTATAAACTACAGTAACAACAAAAGTTCTCTACCTACCCTGCTTAATGTAAAATATTCCACAGACCTTCGGATTCACAAATATTCTTTAAAACTTCTAAAAATATGTAGACCACAGTCTACCTTACTGCTAACCTCAAACATAAAACAATGTGTCTCATATTTTTCTGAAATTATCACAAACGCTTAATATTATCCAAATTCTCTCACTATTCAATTTACCCCGCTGTATCCTGCTTAGAATAGTACTTGTTAGTAGCAGTCATTAATATTATAATTTGTTCTATTATATATTTCTTATACTTTTTATACCGCTCTTATAGAAATATCATACTAAGAATCATTGATAATTACTTATTATCCAGTATTTTTAATACTGAAAATAAGTAATTATCAATGATTCTTAATATGATATTTCTATAAGGGCGTTTTTTCGGAGAAAAGTTTCTTTAGATTTAATATTTGTATTTGTTTAATATATCTTGGTTTGTTTCATTAAAATATCATATTCTTAAATGAAATCATTTTTTAAAATGATGAAAATAAAAACTTTTATTTCGTTTAAGAAAGCTATGTCATTTGACAAAACAACACTATTGTTTTATATAAATAGAAACTTTTAAAAGTTTCTTTTATAATTTAGTAATTCGATTTGTTTGATATGGATTTTCTTAAAATTTTTTTATTTTGTTTGAATGAATTATTATAACATTATGTTAAAAATCTAAAAGTAATTATCACTGGTTCACGACTCACACAACACACACTTCTAAAGGACGTCTTAAAGACGTCTTTATGACATTACTAAAAGACCTCTAAAAGATGTCTTTAAGACATTTTCAAAAGACGTCTTAAAGATATATCTTATTTTAGACATTTTTATGGCGTTTATTAAATGACATTTTTAAGATTATGTATAATTATATGATCAAATGAACTCCAGAATGAAGTTCGATCATAATTATGCGATTACTTTACCGAGTAGACATATCCTCCCGTTCCCCGAAAACATTTTCATTTGTTTTCTAACTCTCTTTTGTAGATTTAGGAACTGCTTTACACTATGACGTTAGATGAGGTGGAGCGTAATGAAATGGCTCCTTCAGTATAGTTTTGTTTTTTACGCGCAAGCTTTGAACACGCTTGTTGAAAGGGAGTAGCATACAACATGACTACATATTCTACTCAGACGAAATGTTGAATATAATTGTCTACATTACCGATTATAAAATTTATATACGTTGCTATGACAAATAACGACTTCTTGCGAGTATCGTGTACGTAAAATATGTAAAAATCTTAGAGAAGTTATTAAACTCTGAATTGTTTTATAATTTGGTCAGTTTGCTTTTAAATTGCAGTGCCGACTGAAAATCTCCTTTCTTTCATTAGCGTAGAAGAAGGAGGGCATACTAGGTGGCGGCGGAACGCCGTGCGTTCGAGATCTGCGTATCTTTTTCGTTCCAGAAAGAGAAAAATATCGAGAGCGCGGTCCTGCTAGGCCGGGACTCGAACCCGGGTCTTTCGCTTGCCGGACGACTGCTCTAAACCACTGAGCTACCTGACACTCCACATTCCAAGGTGGTCCTTGGAAATAATAGAATATGGATTTGCTTATCCGTTCTATTCAGGATTAGGATTAGGATTAATGGCAGCTAACAAATGTTGATAGTATCCGGTATCGTATTTAAATTTTAAATCATGTACTACGAAATATTACTATTAGGCAGCATATGTTTTAAAATTTAAAATGTATGATGTGCGAATATTATTATTATCCGTTAGCTGTCATGAATACCTAACCCTGAGCAAAACGGATGAGCGAATATACAGTCTAATCATAATTCTCAACCGACTGCAGCAAATAAACGAAAATAAATAAAATTTTCTCTTTTTAATGTATACATAATTATAAAAGTCTATAATACCATATACATAATATAATATACATGCAATAGCATATATGTAAAGGTCTAAAAGTAGTCTTAAACGTTTTTAAGACGTCTTAAAATAATGTCTTTAAGACGTCTTAAATCGAGACATAAGAGGTCTTAAAGACGTTATAAAAACGTCTTTCTAGCAACTTTTTAAAAATTTTAAGACGTCTTTTAGACATCTTTAAAACGTTATACTATTGTGTAGATAGTAATTATCAGTAATACTTTTTTGTAAAGGTTACCTATGTCATTTCCGAATTTTAAATATCATTTTTTATTTTAAATGGAATCATGTCCTTTTTTGTATAATCAAGTTGTAAATTGTAGATTAAATTTACGTGAAATAAAATTTAAAAAATATTCTTTTATAAGAAAAAAATGCTGAACGTTTGTATAAAAAATTAACGACTATTTAAGATGTTACATAAGAAAACAACACTAATATTCACAAATACGAAAAAATTCTGCTGTCATTATCTTTATTTTTCTTATTCTACATTGTTAGCAGACCACAGTATCCAAAAACTTTAATATATTCACAAATTATTTTAACTTAAAAATAAAAAAGTTAATAAATTAATAAGTTAATCCATTCTAAAATAACTATTTAAATTCAAATTTGATGCATTTAAAATTAATTAAGTTAAACTAGAAATTATTAATTCTTTTACTTTTAACTAACTAACTTAATTTTAATTAATTAACTTAATTATTATCTAACTTTGCAAAATTTTATTGCTTGTTATAGATTTTTATGGAAAAAATATAAATATTGAATAAAAGTAAAAAGAGAAAAGAGATATAAACATTGAATAAAAGTAAAGAGATTGAGATATATCTCCATAACAAGCAAGATATGAAAGAAATATGTTTTCAGGTCATCATTGTTGATTTCTTATATTTTTTTTATTGTTTATAAAACTCGCATATCCTAATTTATATACAACACTTTATAGATAATACATAAAATATATATATTATATATAATATATTTATTATATGCATAATAAATAAATATATATTATGTAATTGTAAACACATATATTATATAATAATATATATATTAAATATATATATATATATATATTTTTATACAATATTTACTATATAAATAGTGTTGATGTATTACATTATTATATTGTATGTTCTTATATTAAAGCAATATTATATAGTACAAATCTCATAAAATAACTTTGTCTCCTTTTCTAACGCTTATCGATTAATGAATAGTTAACAAGGTCACATTATCAAATTATACTTTCCCTAACAAACAATTTATAATAGAAAATCTGCTAACTCAAACGAGTTTATTAGACCAAATTAAGAGAAAAATAAACCAATAATTTTTATACTACAATAATACTATAATAATCTCCTCTATCTATCTACATTATCTTCAGGCATTTGATATGTTAATTCGTACATTGTCAACGTTTTGAGAAAAAAAAATTGGCTATACGTCCGCATCAATTTAAATCCACATTGGAGACACATTTGCATTATTTTTCTATGGTATTCCGTCAATTGTATATTGATGCCAAAGCACTTTTTATTTATCGCGTATGTCGTAGCGATTTCAAGCAGCTTCTCCTCTATGTTCCTCTCCGCATATAGATTATGTACAAATAACATATCTATGTTAGCCTTCGTATATATATCTTTGGAAGACCCGCACACGCTGATAATTCCCACAATCTTACTCGAGATAAAACGAAAGGACATTTCGAAACGTCGATATTCATAGTCAGGTATGATGATATACGGTTCGTTTTTTATATCTCGCTTTATGTGAAGAGGCTCGAGTGCTTCGGCAACCCAAATGCTACAGTTGGACTTATATAAGCAATCCCTATCAACAGAAAAATCAATAGAAAACGGATTAATTCGAATTGTTCGGCGAGCAAGTTTATTAACTATATCGGGTTATAGTATTTTCTTTAACACAAATTCTGATACATTGTGGGCATTTTTTGCTCCATCCAATTTTTAATTTTAAATTACCTAGTAGAATGAGAACTTTTGATTTACACAATAAAAAATATTATAGTTGATGAAAATATAAGGTTTGAGAGCACTATTGAGTGATTTTAATTGCATATAATATATAAAAAGACAAAGTTGTTATGAAATTGCTTTTCATCCTAGTTCGTGAGATTAAAACCCACCAACATCTTTAAACCAACATCTTTAAACCAACGTCTTTAAACCAACGTTTATTAAATCCTAACCTGAGTTTAAATTTTCTAATCTAGGTCCATATTGTACAGTTTGTGAAAGAATATTTATTATTGCATATCTCCGTTTATTAAAAAGTATAATTATTTAGGTATACGAAAATATATCATCTTTTTTAACCAAAATACGAATAAAATTATTAATAGTTACAATTTTTTGCGACTTTTATTTTACATTTTTATATGCCCGTTTCTATCAATGTCGATTAAATTTTAAAGAGATATTTTAGTGTAAAGATTCATTTTCAAAACTCAATTTTTGGGAATCAATTTTTGAATGGTTAAATCTACAGAGTTAATGTTTTGTACTGACATTTATTTATCTTTGAAGAAACACTTCAAATTTTGTCAAAGCTTTTCATTTAAAATTTGAGAAAATACAAGTGGACGAAACGGGTCATGCCGTCTTCCTTCAGGCGTGTTGATTGCCGCCGTCCTCGTTATCTAAAATAAACGAATTTGCTTTTATTTTGTTCTTTATAAATGTAGCTATCGCCCATACTAGAATTCTTGATATCTTTAAAATTGCTATTTTTTCAGACCAGTTAAGATTAGAATTAGTTAAAATTTTTTAGTAAAAAAATTATTCAGATTATCAGATTATTTTTCAAGCGCCACCATTTTGTCAATTTTTCTTCAAATTATTTAATTCTAGTTCGGGCAATAGCTACATTTATAAAGAACAGAATGAGAGCAAATTTGTTTACTTTCGATGACGAGGATGGCGGCAATTAACACGCCCGATGGAAGACGATTTTACGGCGTGACCTGTTTCGTTCATTTGTATTTTCTCCAATTTTGAATAAAAAGCTTTGACAAAATTTAAGATGTTTCTTCAAAGATGAATAAATGTCAGTACAAAATATTAACTTTGTAGGTTTAACCATTTGTTTAAAATTAATTCCCAAATATCGCCTTGAAAACGGGTCTTCACACTAGAATATTCCCTTAAATAAAATTAAACTCTAAATTAAATTTAAACTCTATTCAAAGTTGCATTCCAAAACGTTCTTTTTAAGGAAATTTTACTGGATATTCTATAGTATATGTAAACTATAGTATATGTGAACTATAGATATTAAGTAAAATTTTCTTCAAAAAGGATGTTTTGGAATGCAATCTTCAATTGAATTTAAATTTCATTTAAAGTTTAATCGAAGTTTAATTGCGATATATAGAGAGAGAAACATATAAAAGTGTAAAATAAATATGTAATACCACAAAAAATTGAAAGTATTAATGACTTTATTCGCTTTTTGACTGGAAAAGATGATGTATTTTTGTATACCTAAATATTTATTACTTTTTGACAAACTAAAATATGCAATATTTTTTCACAAATATGAAATATGAAGTATGAAATATGAAACATAAAATATGAAATAAAATATACAATTGTGATAAATATTAGGACAAGAAAATTATAGAATGATAATTTCTTAAATTCATTTTCAAAAAAGTTACAAATTTTTATATAAACTCATATTCTCATCGCGTTCTCTTTATGTTTTCGATAAAATGAAATACTTAAGAGAATATTTTCGATTATTTCTTTAAAAATTCTATTTTATAGAAAAATTTTACTTAAAAAATATTTATATTTCTTTATCATTTTTATTGGCATTTTAATAAATAAGCAAGGATGGAAACAATCCCAGTATACCAGATTAAGGTGTCCAAAACTTGTGTGCCGTGTAAGAATTAACCCTGACTGTAATACCAAGCATTTCGTAGATGTACTGATGTAAATTTCATTCATTTACTTTCAAGAATTTTTCCAAAATTACGCATGACTACAATTATTACATTAAAAATTAAGTAAAAGAGAGAACAATAATTACATCTTATATGATAAGTGATTAAATGAATTTTTAATCAATTTTTTATGATATACGTCTAATACATAGAATGAGCATGGTAACGTTAAGATTAATAGTTCACGTAAGATTCATATAAGATATACACTACCTCCAGATATTCCGCTTCAAACCTACTATCCGCTTCGTGACGCTCAAATATGTCATGATGTATACAAACATAGCGTACACGATTACGAGTAGTGAGATAGCTTTCTGCGACACTCCGAAGTTGAGCAATATTGTGTACAATACAAATAGATACAATAACTTCATAAATATTGTATCTTTGATCATGTTATTTGTTAGAGACTTCACGGCTTCTTGTAATAATGCGTTACATTCTTTTTCGTCGTCCTTCTCGAATGGACGTAAGACTATGATATAACCCATTTTTCTAGGTAGATACACTGAAGTTTTACACTGCACAATCGGAATATCAAGATCTTACCGTTAAATCTGAGCTTATACATACGTCTGACATGCCAGCTACTCTGTCGAAATCAAGTTGCCATTCCAAAACAAAAAAAAATATAGTGGGGAGATAACTAATCATCTATCGTTCGGTTCCCCCCGATTTTAAATACGCGAGTCAAATCCACATGGAGCACATTTCCTCTATGTGCTCTACATAGAGGAAATGTGCTCCATGTGGAGCAGATTTTACAAAAAAATTATATATATATATATATATATATATATATATATATATATATATATAAAGAATTCTATTTTTTCACATGTATTTTTTAATAAGATTTATATTCTCTTCCTTTATACTCAGGTTTAAGGTGTTAAGAGAATACTGAATACGATACCGAACTCCGATAGAAATGCGCCATTACTTAAGGGGAACTAAAAGCTATTGGTAACATACGTCGATAACAATATTGATATTTCCGGCATTATCGATTTAGGATAGACGTGACAAATAATGAAGTTGGAGCATTTGTTAATTATGTAACATACTAGAAACACTATAATTAGAGACTGGCTACGAAAAGGCTATTTTTGGTCCGCTATTTTTAGTCTGTTCCTGCTGATCTTTAAATACAAAAATTAAATTAATCTTAAATTACAATACAATTTAAAAAAATAAATGTTTCAAAGCTAATAATACATTTTTGTTTCTCTCATTACAATTATAACTTTTTCAAATATTTACTTATATTAAAATATAAAATTCGATAATTGCAAATAATAAAATATACATATTCACATTTTATTTTATATAATCACGCTATTAATTTAAGAACATATTTTGTATATAATTATTACGATTTCCTAACTTATTTACAATAAATAAATAAAGTGATATAATGGAATAAAATAAAGAAAGTAAAACAAAACATGAAAAAAACAATCTTTTCCCAGTAAACACTGGATATTCTTGAAATATTCTGTTCGTATTCGAAAAGTTCTGTATATATCGGAACAGTAAAAAAATGTTCACAGAATGTTCAAATAATCGTGAAATATTTAGAATATCTATAAACACTATTTGTATGTGCAATGAATATTCAGTACATTTTGGCACATGTATGGAACATATAAAATATTCCATAGAATATTAATCAAACTTTCTTAGGTCAATGTTATTGGACATTAATGAAAACCGTTGTGTGTAATCATTTCACCGATCATTTGTAATCATTTCACCGATCATGTGTAATCATTTCTACCGATTGCGTTACGTATAGTGCGTTATACTCTTATATTCGACTCAGCGTTATCAATAATGTATTCATTTTAATCATTTTGTATTGAACCATTTCATATCTAGTTATAGATATTGTGTTTCATACAATTGAGAAGAAGAGGAATCTTAATCACAGGGCATCATTATCTCTTGGCATCTTTTGTGTACTACATGCAGCTATTACGTTAGTCTTGCGTCTTGTATTTTACGTATGTTTTTTACTTTATATTGTTTTACATTTATATATATTGTCTTACATTTATATATATTTTAGAATAAATAAATCTTACTCATAAATGAATATTATCTAAATAATATATAAAACTATTTTCAATAGCAGATATTAGCACCTATTTCTTTCAGAAATTAAAAAAATCTTTTAGTTATAAAATAAATAAAAAAATTCGGTAGGATCTCATAACACTTTTTTTAGATCATGGAATGTGCAGAGAGGAAATACAACATACGTTTTTCGATAAATAATTTCCAAAACGGTAATAAATTATGTTTTTTCTTTCTCGTTGAGAACTTTTATAAACAGGTAAAGATTTGTTATAAATGACATTGTAATTGTTTTTTCTTTTAATATAATATAAAATATTTTACGCAATAAAGACTCCAATATAGATATCTCACGGAGAAGAAAAACTAGAATATTTAAGATCAGCCGTTTTCAAGGCTAAAAGAATAAAAAAATAAAGAAAATAAGAATAATAAATAAACAATATAGAAAAATAATTTCACCAGAATACATTGAAGTGATATATTAATACAATATTTATGTTTGAACATCCTATGTAAACTTACATATTTCATATTTTTGATCAGGTTTACCGAATCGCTGGCCCACTGTGCGTCGGATACGTCGTATCTACATTCTGTCAAGTAAAAGCGTGGTCAGGTTAATTTATAAAAAAAATTAATAAACAAAATTTTCAAATACATATATGCATTGTACTCAATCAGAACAAAGATGCAATTATGTTAGTAATGCCTCCGATCACCACCGGCGTCGATAATTGTCAGACATTTTTGAGACATGCTTTTGATCAAATTTGCCTATCGAGCCACGTTCCGGTAAATTATCGACATTTTTGCCACATTGTATTGGTGCACCTACTTCTATACGAATATTTTTTATTTTCTCTTCTTATTTAACAACCGCTGATTGCAACATTTTCGGATCTTTCGGGTGGGCGCAAAGGATTACAGCCTCGTAGCCCGACGCGCTACTATTTGGTACTCATGGCGCTAAACGTGTTTCTCTTACAAAAAATCAACGACAACTGAATCTTTCTTGACAGTGCATCAAGGACAAAAGTTCCCTCTATCGACTCACGAAAGATTTAGAGCGATATCTTTTACCAGTTGTGAATAAGGCCGACCACATTTTTACTTGACAGACTGTATGCACGGTGTCCTACAATGTCCACTCTTCTTCGCAATTTTTGTAGAAGGTAGAACGGATTGAACATAAAAGCCCCATACTGTTTTGCAATATTCGCAGTAAATCTAAGATATTATAAAAATTAAAGGAGATTAATAAATGATCCCGTGCGATATGGTAGATAAGCTATAGTAAAGCCGTCTGCCGTTGTATACTTACACATTAGGTGAAACTGAACAAAAAAGTCTTCTATCAATTTGCAAATGTGACCACATAAATTTTTATATATCAATTAAATAATATTTGTGAATATTCGCACAAATTCTTTGAAATAAATGTATTTTAAAAAACATATTTTAAAAAACAAAATTGGAAACAAATAGCACTACTTACATGGCTCCAACGTCATTACTCTACCCTTATAGAAATATCATACTAAGAATCATTGATAATTACTTATTTTCAGTATTAAAAATACTGGATAATAAGTAATTATCAATGATTTTTAGTATGATATTTCTATAAGGGTACAGCAACCGCAATTCTCGGTAATCAAAATTCTCGATTATTGTTAATATGTATGCGCGATTCAGCGAGCGATTTGTAAATCATATTGAAGAGGATTTAAAACAAGAACAGAAACGTTTATATATATCTACGTATGTTAAAAGTCAATTAATTGTAAGTCTCCGATATCATATACATTAAAATCGTTGTTATACTCTACCTTCATGTGTTATGGCTCTCATAGGCCTTTAATCTGTTAGTTTCTGTTTTATTGCTTTATCATTCACAAATCTTCTTTAATTAATATCTCAATAATATGTCACATATAATGATATGTTACATGTTACTTTCATATTATATTTACGTTATATACCTGTAATATATATATAAGCAGAGGGAAAATTACTACTTACATCTATATAAACTCCCAGACAGTACAATCTACTAAAAGATATCTTAAAGACTAAAAGATATCCTTATTCCTTTTGGATGTCTTTTGAACGTCTTTAAGATATCTTTTAGCTGTCTGGGAGTTTATATAGATATTAGTAATAATTTTCCCTCTACTTATATATATTACAGGTATATAACGTAAATATAATATAACGTAAATATAATATAAAAGTAACATGTAACATATCATTATATGTGACATATTATTGAGATATTAATTAAAGAAGATTTGTGAATGATAAAACAATAAAACAGAACCTAACAGATTAAAGGTCTATGATAGCCATAACACATGAGGGTAGAGTATAACAACGATTTTAATGTATATGATATCGGAGTCTTACAATTAATTGACTCTTAACATACGTAGATATATATAAACGTTTCTATTCTTGTTTTAAATCCTCCTCAGTATGATTGCTGTCTGGGCTGCTACATACGTGTTATATGTTACATTCCGTTTTATTATGACAATGTAGCAGTTTTATATTCATGTTTGCTGGATAGTATATATTATATAATGCATATTATAATAATGCATAATTTATTATATATTGTTTATTATATGAGCAATTATATGTGAATATATTACATAATAAATAGTCATTATACACATACATATTACAAAAAATATTTACTATATAATGTAATACATAATATTATATAATACATAGCTCTTTTATAAAAAAAAAATAAACTTTATCTTTTCTTGATATCGATTAATTAATAGTTAACAAGGCCACAATGTCTAATTATACTTAATATATTGATAGTCAGACAGTTTATAATACGGAGAAGACGATGTTTGTGCTTTTAATAAACTATTTTTGGCTTACTAATAAAATCTTAACTAGATATTGGAAATTATTTTTGGTTCTTCTAAAAATAGGAAATAACAGTTATTTGTTCACCAGATGCGAGAAAAGTTATGAAATCGAGGTTTATTATTGATTGTTGAAATAGTTATATAAAATATTCTTTTGAGCTTTATCTTTGATATTTCATTGAAATAAATTCAATTGTCTTTCATATATCTTTAAAATAAAATAAATTACACAATAATATCTTAAGAAGTAAATAGTAAATATAATAAAGTTTACTTTTGAGTTTTAAATAGTATTGATGTGTTGTACATGCAAAGGAAGATCCAAAAGAGGAAAGCCTGCTATTTACATTTTTTAGTCCTTATCTAACAGATTTTTTACATGAGATATTTTGAGACATAAAAAAGAAAAACTTACAGAGAGATTGTTAGAAGATTTATCAATGTTTATGCATATCTGTCACTCTCATTAGACTCCACGATACTGAAATTCGATTTGTCGAATATTTCTCTCCTTACCTTACACACCAATACATTAATGCAGAACTTAGCACGTGTTGCATATTTCGGCCGATTTTCGATTTGCTCCGTCGATTTGCTCAGCGCTTCCCCTTACCTCATTGCCCCGCGCGCAACCAACGAGCCACACTGGAGATTTAGAAACGTATGACTTGTAAACATATGTTTCTAATAGTGGAAAATTATTAGAAACATGTGTTTACACGTCATACGCTTCTAAGTCTCGAACGGCTCGTAGATTACGCCCGGGGCAATGAAGTAAAGGAAAACGACAATGAGGTAAACGGAGCAAGTTGAAAATCAATTGAAATGTATAACGCGTACCAAACTCTGCATTAATAAATTAAATTATAACATATTTATTTTGTTATATTAAAAACATTTGTTATCTTAAAAACATCAAAAATACAAAGTTTAAAAATATTTTATATAGCTATTATAACAATCAATATTAAATCTCTATTTTTATAATTTTCCCTGGAGCTGGTGAACAAATAATTATTAGTTTCTATTTGTAGAAAATACCAGAAATAATTTCCAATGATTAATTACGATGCGGTCAGTGAGCTAAAATGGCCTATTTTTAATCTTTTGCTATCTCAAGTGAAGCTATTTGACTATCATCAATTATTAATACAATTCAGGAAATATTCTTTCGTCATTATATGTATATACTCATCTACAAAACGGTTTGTACGCATTTTTTTTCTGTGAAGTTGAGAACGCATAAAATGGTCAAGATTATGAGCTATTATTGACAAGCCTACACAGTAATCCTCTACAACAGTAGCCAAAGTGACTATATATGAGAAATTTGGCGTCACAACTATAAAAAAAGATCCAGAAGAAACGTAGCTTTCTTATATTGTTACGTCTATGCTTTCGAAATTGTTTAGTTTGCCGAAAATATTATATTAAAAGCAAATGAACATAATAAATTATGTTCATTTATTATAAATATATAATAAATATAAAAATATAATATAAAAGATGTAAAAAGTGTAATAAAATACTAATATTTACACCGTATATTGTAACTTCAGTTTTTATCATAATTGGTTACCACGTATGCCAATAAACGGTGGCTCGAAATTATGATTACTTACTACGCTTCTGTCTCTAATTTCAATGAAAAGTATGTTCAAAATATTTCGCAAACGAGTGTGCACGTCATTTAAAAGATTAAAAGAATATAATTAAACTTATATTAGAATACACAATAAATAGTACCTTGGTATTAACATGAAAAAGAAATCCAGTTTATACGATTCAATTAACCTAAATTCAAGTTCGACAGTCGTTTCTATCATGTCTGTGCTATATATCGATAGATATAACTCTAAGAAATGGAATCCATTATTTATTGCGGACATTTTAGCGACATAAAGCAGCTCGTCTTCTATGCCCTTGTTCGCGTGTAGATCGTGTACATATAACATATTTATATTAGCTATCTTTCGTCCGTGTATATCTCTGTCATATTCGCGCAAACCGATAGTTCCTACGATCTTACTCCTCAAATAACGATGACGGTAACACTGATACTCATGGATAGATGTTATGCGATACGAATCGTTCTCAAAACTTTCAAGAGACTCGTAAGCTTCGGCAACCCAACAATTCCAATCGGGGTTACACAAATAATTCCTATTAACAGAAAAATTGATATCAAGATTAAAATCAGTTTCCAGTTACTCACTAAACGTTATGTTTTTTTATCACGACGGATTACCGATTGTGGTACTTTTAATAATCCGTAACATTTATACACTACCTCCAGACGTTCCACTTGAAACCTATCACCCATATAGAGATACTTAAATACGTTAGGACGTATATAAGTATAATGAGAGCGAGTATGATATACATGATAGTATTCCACGATAATCCTGAGGAAGACATCATCATATTGAGCACAAATAGAAAAAGCAGTTGATGAGGTATCATACTTTTTATACGGGGATTCATTAGGGACCACACAGCTTTTCTCAACAATATGGTGCACTCTTTTTTGTCCTTCCACTCGAGTTGACGTACAACTATTATATAACCCATTTTTTAGGTAAATACACGTACGTAGAGATTTTATACGGCACAATAACATATGTTATGTTACAATATACAATGTTACGTCTCCACTCTTGAATATATTTAATGTACTACTTTATCGTAATCATCGCGTGCGACACTCTTCATAAGTTCTTCACTCTTGCGCTAACAGTTTACGTAAGATTAAACTCGTAACAGAATAGGTATTAACGATTGCGGTTTGAAGATTGAAACTTAACCAATTGGAATTAAGCGAGCCAAAATCGAAATTAATTGATTTGTCAAATTTCAATATCTAATCCGCTGTCCTCAATCTCTAATATTTACAATCAAATACTCTTCCCTTATAAAAATTTAATACTGAGAACATTAATACTAAGAAATTTCCAGTGATTAAATACTGCAAATATTTCAAAAATTATTTGGCCAATGCTTACTTATTGATTACATAATTACAAAATATTGTTTGCGCAACAAATTAAATAGAAAATAAAATGTAGTAAACTAATGTCTGATGATTTTGCCTAAATAAAAACAATATGTCCTTTCCCGATTTCAATCCTGTAGCAAACACATTATTTTTTTCCTAACCGCGATCACTGTGGTTTTATCTTAATGACCGAATGTAAATCGATGACGCCATTGAGCTGTAATGATAACTTGATAGAATATATTTATAATATATATTTTTATACCTTAAAAAGCATTTAAATAGTATATGTTGGAAACAACGCAACAACAATTAATTTACAATAGATATCATATGTATATATATATATATATATATATATATATATATATATATATATCATATATCTTTTTAATAAATAAATATATATATATATCATATATCATATA